TCCGCAGACATACCGCTGTGCTACTGGGGGGCAATTTTATGAATGAATAAAGATTGTTTTCTTACATTTTACAGTGCTTCCAGTCTCTCTTTCATTCTCAGAAATTCGGTTAGTCAGAGATTCAATACTATTTCTTAAAAAATATCTGTGATTCAGTTATATTTGCCATTTAATATGGCTCGAATTTCAAAACGTGGATCTAAGGTACAAGAAACCTTTCTAGTGCGAGGCTTTAAGTAAATAACATTAATACTATCTGCTATTCTTTCAGATATTGTAAAATGTCAATCAAAAGTTCCTCATTTTTATGCTTTCAAGCTCTGAAATTAAAAATTGAACTTGAAATTATTTTATTGCAATGTTTATAGCCTCACTTTGCAGATATGTGGAAACTACATGACATAATTTTATAAGTTTATCCACAGTGACTAGGTAGAGGAAAAGTTTAAAACCTTCTAGAAAGATACGGCTTCACCAATAGTTTCATAGTCAAAATTACCATTAGCAACAGATTATAATGTAGACTTCACAACAGTAATCATGCTGAGAAGTACAGTATATATTCTTTGCTTGGTCCAGTATGTTATGTTCAATGGCTGCACTCTGCCAATTCTTTTAGGTTGTAGTTGTTGCTGAATGCCCTTGAAGAGACCATATCACTTTGTTTTGCCTTCAATAGATAATGCTAGAACAGCTTTTAGACTATTCCAAGAAAAAGTATTATCCTTTATTTTCTTCATTCATGTGTCCACAACTCAATGTACAAGGTAGTGCTTATGATATGTGTTTATAGCCAAGTGAAATGGTAGAACAACTATTGAACCACGTAAACTATCAAATGAAAGACCGTGCTTTTGAAAATTATTCTACACGTAAATGAACAACCCTGCTGCCATCATGTGAGAGCACACTACAGTACTTGGTAAAGCTTCAACTACTTCTCCATATTTACTGACATATATAACAAAAAAGAAAGATATTCTTGTTTGCTGCAATCAGATCTAGATCGATGAAATAATACTGTCAGGACTAATTTCATTTGGAGGTGAAAGCGAGATGCTATAGTGCAGGGTATCCATGGAGATTAGCATTGGCTTTTTATAGATGTACAAGTAGACGTGAAATTGTGTTTGAAATTTAGATGGCATCAGTGATGTCGGTAATGTCCAAAAAACTTATTAAAATGTGAAAGTGGGTCTAGAAAATTTAGTGGCGGCAGGATACATTTGAGTCCCTAAAGCTCGACGCTATGGGTGGATTTTCAATTTATTCTGGAGACATGTTATATCTAGACTGTGGAAACTAGCCTCTTTATAATTAAATTACCCATTTATGCTAAAGACAATGCCATGTGTTTTCTACAAGAAAAAAAAATTATATATTTGTTCGCTATTTCTATAATTTCTTTCAGTTTAGCTTGAATACAGAAAATCGCTCATGTAAATTCATTTGACTTGAACTGATTCTAGATCTGCCTTAAACTTAGTTCACTAGTTGGAAATTAACCAAATTTTCTTGATTTTAAAGTTAGCTCATGGTGTATCAGTATAGAAGGGTGTCTTATCTGTCAGAGAATTGGATAATGGTCCTGGGTTTCACCACCCATGTGCTTGAGTCACTGTGAATGATGGTCACGTAGTTGAGGAGTGACGTGTGTAACTTGGCTTTGTGTGGTATTATTGTATTTTTAGTAATGTAGTGGGCTATATTTATATTATTTTAATGCTTTAGTCACTAAATGGATTTTTTGTTTACATATGTAATGACTGATGAAGTGTAGAAATTTCATAAAGATTTAAGTCTTTGTAGAACATCGAATCTTCGTGTAGTACGCATAAAACTAATAATGTTGTACATGTATATCCAGGCAAAAGTCATATTCTGTTATAAGCTATATGTTTAATGTTGTAATTTAGATTTTAGTTTGGAGTTCCAGGTCGTAATTATGACGTTAAAATCAGCTTAGGATTTAATGTCAACTTTTCTAGTACATTTTCAGGATAGAGTATGAATGCGAGGTCACCAAAGCATCAAAGAGATAGTTAAGAACATTTAGAGTTGTTTTCTAGCAGCTAGCATAAACCAGTCAGTGTGTTTACGTTTTGGATCTGTGTTAGTTGTAATGCATATTGAGTTACTTAGTACATATAACTTGTAAACTGATTTATTACATTAGTATGGTGCAGTTAACACCACTTGTAATCGTGGTTGGAAATTCAGCACAGTGTTCATGTTTGTAAAAACGTGAAGGTTGAAATAAACTACTTTGGTATTGCTTACGTGGGCTGTACTATTAATTCTTTTAACCAGAAAATTTTAAAGAATCCACCAACGTAAGAACAACGTTATAAATACCACAATACAATATAAAAAGGGCAGACTGAGTAAGTGCAAAACTTTTATTACAGCATGTGTGTGATAATGATGTGGGTGGTGGCAATTAATGTTAGAAGGCCTTGTGTGTTGTTTCTTGTACATTTTTATTTTGGTTTTCATAATGAATGGTGAAATACAAAACTACAGACCAGCCATTTCATATTTAGCCATTCCTGGGAGGCACTATTCCCATCCTATATACCCAGTCTTTTAAACTTTCCTAGCATTGAAAACAGAATGTCGTCATTTGAAAATGTATGTTTTCTTGATCCTGTTTAATTATTGTCTGATTAAAATCTATGGTTTAGGAAACAGGTGGCTGGTTAAACTGACAAAAACTGCTATCATAATAAAACCTATAATGTGTACATTACAGTTCAATGAAGTTTCTTGATAAAAACAAGTTACAAAACAGAAGTGAATGTTAACTAATACCACTTATGGGTTATCATGGTTACAATTTTTAGGGAATGTATTAGTATTTAGTTAAGTTTGAGACTTACTTTATTTAAAATTTTGTGAACATCAAAAAGGTACCACTTATGATGTGCATAACTGTTCATATGATGTGAAATACAACACTGTAAATTCAATGTTTTACTATGTTAAGTGATTTTCACATTCTTTGAAGCTGTTGCACTTAACATTAAATCACAATTAGTTACTGAAGTTAATGTAAACTTTCAAGTTTATATATAAACACAAACTTAATTATGTCTACAGATTCACAATACACTGAACCATAATGATGGTATATATTATTATTTGGTGTATTACTCCTTTGATCTCTTTAGAGCAGGACATCTGGTTAACATGCTGTTATAGAAGTCACTGATGGAAGTGCATGGAATGTTCCTTTGCATTCTCTGTAGTATGTTAGACTATTCCACAGGTGGCATGATTGCCTCTTCATCTATGTAAGTCCAAATTTGAGCTCTGAGCATGCCAAGGCAGGAGTTCTTGTCTTCTAATTTCCTGTTTCCTCTCCTGGTTGATTTTTACCATGTTGGTCATACACTTGAGATCATCATCCTGCAGAAACACAATCTCATGGCCACAAAGTGTATTCCTAGTGGAATGCCATAGTGTATTAGGATCTATCTGCTCTTTTATAAGTCAGTGTGTTACTAATTTTTGCCAAGTCTCCAATATTACTAGAAAGAAATGCCACCCAAAAGTTGCATAGATTCACTCCTCATGTTTTGTTTTTTCTTCTAACTGTTGTACTTTGGTAGTGGTACTGTCCTCAGTTCTTTTTTTAAATGTACTACTGTTGATTGCTGAACAACTCAAATGTGAACTCACTGGTAAACAACAATCTCAGTTGTGTTTGTTCATCTCAATATTTCAATTACTTTTTTAAGGTTTTTATGCAGCTATAGTGGATTGAGATTGCAACAACTCAAACAGTTCTTACTCTCATCAGGATGACCCTTGGACACCTGCAAATGGAGCCAGATTTTTATTGGAACAACTCCTATCTTCTAGGAAGCATATCCAGAGATCATTGATGAAAAATGTGAGCTTTCTTCCCTGACTGGGTTTGTCTTGCATACAGGATTCACCGATATACATGTAGCTTTACTTCAATGTAACACATGATATAACCTTCACTGTCCAAAATGATAGTTATACACTTGTCATGAGATACTTCCTTCCTGATGGCTATGCTTTCTCCAACACACATTCTGGGGAAGTGATACTGATGGGTTTATTTACATAGTCAGTAAGCTGGTATGGTACTCTTTGATTGTAACCAGTCAACAGCTATTTTAATATTTTGTGAGCAGCCGTATTTTCTGTGGGGTGACTGGCATGTTTTATAATGCTTTTTACTGGTCTTTGTGTGTTGTTTTCATATTCATTTGTGGGTATGTATGTATAAACTAGGGAGTTTCTAGGCATCTTGTACAAGACATGTACAAATAATAATCACAAACTGTTACTTATGTTATTCTTAAAACTAATGGTTCTGTCAATTTCTGAAATTTTACAGATGGCAGATTATGAAAATACAATAGGACATAAATGATTCTTTAGAACACTTTATACCATATTGTGAATGGAAATAAGGATGTATTCAGAAACTATATTTTTGCCACTTTTTCTCTTGCAGCACTTTCATGATTCAAGTGCTTGAAACACTCTCATACATTTGTAACTAAAAACATTTTGGCTATTTTACTCGTGCTATTATCTCAACTTTTTTTACATTTTACAGAAAGAGTGGTATGATTTTATATTTAAACAAGTTTCCTTCCAATCACTTTATGCAAGAAATTAAAAAAATTACAAATACACTACCACCTGGATATTCAACACCAATATCTTGTGACAATAATGTAATTAACTTCATATAATCAAAAACCATATTATATGTGTTCTTTCAATTGCACAAAAATTTATTGCAACTGTTTTTAAGGAAGTGGTAAATAAAATTAAATATACACACAGTGTAGATGTGGCTTTCATAACACATACAGAGCTCAGTTTCCCTTATTACTTGTATAATACAGTGTGTATGTTGAAAATGAATTATGAATTTATCAAAATTAGCCAACTGCAAAAGCATACCATATTCACTAAAAGAAACCTAAAAAAAACCAGTATTATTTACAACAGCATTGACATATATATATATATATATTTATTGTTCAAACAGTTAAGTCACATTCAAGATTTTCTGATATCTCTTCATTAAATACATGGATCAACATGTGCTTTGGTATCTCTGAGCCACGAACACGAATTGTGTAACAAGCATTTTCCACCTTCTTGAGGCTTTGTCTTAAAGTCTGAATTTTTCTGGTGAATTCCCTTCCTGGTGTATTACCAAATGATAGAAAGGCATCATAAATGTTTTGAATGAAGTGACATAATTGAAAGGGTTCTTCTAGGTTCCCTTGCCCAACGCTGTTGATACATTTTCTCATTAACTCGCCAGTCAAGTCAGCTATACCAAGCATATAATCCTGTGGAGGAAGAGGGACCAACACTTGCTTGCTGAGTAGACTGTCTTCTTTACTACTCTGTAAATACAATGAGATAATATTTTATGCTGCAGTGAGATGTCAATTACTTAAAAAGATTTATCAAAAATTAAACAATACTTTAGTCAACAATATTTTCTACAAGTTTGCCAATGTATCTGTTTTACATACTGACAAAAGTTTTGCTTGGGCAAATACTTGTACTTCATGAATGAATTACATCTATATAAATAACTATATTTATACACACATGTAATGAAAGGATTAATCACAAGGATGGTCCTAATTTGCAGGTAAAATTTCAGGTTAAAAATTCTAAAGCTCTCACCAAATTTTGTTCCAATGTATGGAAATATATTAAATGTCAAACTTCATTCATTTCAGACTACATTTAGAGGTTTCTCAATGAGGTTAAAATTTTAGACTGCAGTGGCTTGGTACCATATATATTATGTGATATAAAAATATATTTATTATGTATTATAAATTATTTATTTAAAGTATATTATTATGTTATTGCATGTACAATACTTTAATTACATGATTTTGGTGTGGTTAGTCACTTTTGCATTGTTATTGTTTCCTTTTGCTGTAACTAAAGAGTCTTCTATGATCCTGCACAACTTGAAAGAAGAATTGTTTACTGTTATAATGACATTATACTCCTCAATAAGGGCCACAGTTCTTTCAGCATTGTAATTACTTTACCACATTCAAGTGTTGAATGTGTGTAGTGCTTTCCTGTAGTTCTCTCTGAGCTCCCATGACTTGGGGCCAGAATCCAGAAGGAATTTTGATAATATCTATTGTGTTCTTTGTGACAAAATCTTTAATTGACATGTCCTTAGACTTCCTGATTTCAGCTGGATGAGCTTTGGAGGTTCATCCATGCCTACTTTCTAACTTAGTGCCTTTACTATTGCTCGTTTTATCTCTGTGAATACAGATGAATCAAAGAATGCAAAACCAACGAGTTCCTTGTTGAGATACCATAGATTTCCAGAAATTTTTGGACAGGCAATTATTTAAACAGCAGAATTCACATTCTTATACTTAACAACACATTGTAGGAAGTTAAGATCAGTACAAGGAGCAGAAATGTCATCAGAAGCAGTGAACTGTGCCTTGAGAGGCTTGAATAACAAAGACGCAGATGTCATGGAGTTCTCTTTCCTCACGGCCAGTGAGCTTAAACTGTTAAAAAATCATCCAGATCTTCAGGAAATATACTGTCTCAGCCATCCATCATGCAAGATGCAGTACTCCAGGTGCTATAAAAACACTCCACAAAGAGGAATGCCACCAAGAAATGTTATGGCTAGGTTAAGAAGCTCTCAATAATTATCTCTAGGTTGAGTGGCCTGAAGATATCTTTTAGTAAACTATGTGGCACTGTCCTTAGCTTCCTCTGTGGCTTCTATTACTTCATCATGATCAGCTGCAGTTTCATAACTCAACTTGTACATGTATTTCCAAGATAGTTGGAACCAACTGAAAATTGCACTGTCTGGAACAAAGAAAAGCTTCATACAGTCTTTGAAAACACATGCCATGATAAGTCCTAATATATGATGCCGGCATGCCAAAACCAGAAGATTCTCATTTTATTATTATTCTAACAGCATACATACTCCATTTCTATGACCAGTGTTGGTTGCTGTTGTGTCAAGACAAACTGCTTTTACATGATCACTGAGTCCCCACTCTTCCAGCAAATATGCTACAGCAGAAGCTTGAATCTCTCCAGTGCTTGAAATCAACATTGGAACACGTAGGAGTTGGTTTACTCCTGCTCCAGACAGGATCACTGTTCTTGATACCATTATATCATACAGAATATTCCAGAAGCAAAAAAAGTGACAGCATGGATTATTTACATATAATAATGTGAAACACTCTGAAGTATTCCAAAATATGGTACAATATCCCAGAATTCACAAGAATATTGCACAATAATATACTAGAATATTCCAGGATTTTTTAGAATATTCTGGAAAATTCTAGGATATTCAGAATATGCAGATATAATGTGAGCTACAAGGTAAAACTTCAACAAAATGATGGGGGTGAGAGTATTGTAAATCAAAACCTCAAAAATATATACCACAATATTAATTCACATTTAACTAGTCAGCAAATAAAGTATTACACTTATCTGACTTCAGGCAAGTGATATGTTATAAAGAAATAACTTATACTTAAACTGTATCAAGATATGCTATTTTATGATATTAAAAGACTGTTTGGTTTAGATATTATTGATTAATTTATTTTTGTGAGTGAATATTTTATTATTGTTTAGTTTTTGTTATAATAGGAGTTAAAAGCAGACGATTGTAGGAAGTTGTGTTTATAAGTAATTGATGTTTAGATTATCAAACGTCTCATGCAATACATTGACGTCAAGAATATAGATTTCTAGAAGGTGGGCAGACAATTCAGTGACAGACATGTAAATAGTATGAGATGAGTGGAAACAGCAGACATATAATAGCAAAAAACAGTAAAGTTACAGGCCAAGGAAAAGTTTGGCGTAAAGTTATCTATCATGGAAGTGATAGGCCTAACGATTAACATAGGCCTAGCATTTAATATGTTAGAGTAAGACTAACAGTAGAAAAGGAGATAAGAATAATAATTTATTCCATCAAAGGTTGGTTCTAATGTAACTGAATCAGCCTGAGTGCACTTTAACAAAAGGAACAGAGGATATTTTGAAGAAAGAAGACCAAACGATTACAGTAACTCGTGTCACAACTGTAAGTGAATCACACTCAAAATACTAGTGTGAGAGTAATAAAAAAGATAGTTCAACTTGTCAACTGAAATTCTAAAATAACTGAATAGGCCTAAGTGGACTTTTGACAAGAAGAGAACTATACATATATTGTCTAAATTATGCCTATAATCACTATAGTGTGAAGTATTTGTTGTACATGTGTTTAACTTGTTCCGAATATATATATTATTTTGAAAACAAGAGAAGTGCATGCTATTTAATTATTGTTGAATTTATCGCTAACAAGTCACACACACACACCTACTGTAGAAGAAACCTAACAACAACAACATAGTTTATATTTATACTATTAAGAAGTATAAGTAAAAACCTTTTTATTTTGACAATTGGCAAGATGAAAGAATATATATTTTAAATTCTGACATACTATTTATTTCATTGAATATCATCCTATATACCTGAAAACAGTTTATATTGATTAGTTTCCCAACATGTTATACAACTCAACCAATTGATCATTTCTAGTTTTAGTTTTAAACAATGCTTCAAGTTTACTTAAAACTGTGTTCCTACTGATATATTACTGTGTTTAAAATACAAGATCTTAAGCTTAAAAGTAAGCATTAATAATAATAACAGGAATCCTTCTACTTCATACTACAGGGCATATTAATGAAAACATTAATGTTCTTTTTTACCCATAGTGTTAATTTCAAATCCGATTTAATCTTCTGAAACTTACGGTATCATTTTCTTCATGGAAAACAAGGTCGGCCTGAAGTTCCTCAAATCCAACTAACCTGTTGTCTTTCAAATAATGGTAGAAACTTACTGCTTCAACATATTCTTGAAGACCTTTTGGGACAGTAACTTAACATCAGTCATGTATATATCAAGGTTTCACAAGCATTTAAAACTATACCAGTTAAATTAACCTTTAAATGTAGGTTTTAAGTTAACATAAACCACTTTTATAAATATTTAGGCTTTTGAACTTTTTTTCATTCTTATAAAATCTTAACTTGAGAAAAGTTTATTAAAACAGTATATTGTTGAAAATGTTGGGTGGGATACAAGATTCATGAACTTGCAAGCCAAAGCTTAAAGAATTTACTAAAAATTCCTGAAAGTAAAATTTGTCTACTATCTGAAATATTCTAAAATAACTGAAAATTTTAACTTGCTATTTTAATAATTCTTGTTTCTTAGCAACAATGAAATTAAATGAACACATAGTTTCAAAACAAAAACTCAAGTAATGAAATATTTTATGATCCTCCATTAATAGTTTAAATCACTGAAATTGATAATTTCATCCAAATTAAATCACCAGGCAAATGATTTTTAAATTAAAAACCTTATGAAATTTAAAGACACACTAAATATCAGATCCAAATAAGTATTTTTTTCACTGTTCAGCTTTCTTAGCATTATTTGATGTTATAATTATTAAACAGGTTATTTTGCTACTGCTAATGTGACATACAATAGTGAAAGAGAGTATACAATAGGTTATGAAATCACATTATAGCAACCATTAGACAGTTAAAATAAAACAACAGATATAATTGTTATTTCTGGTACCTGGAGATATGGATCTTAAGTAGTAAAAGATATCTTCATCTTGTAATTGTTCAGCTATCTTTCGTAAATTGCCAGATTGGAGTTCCTTAATTTTGATACTAGCTTCAGACAGCAATTTTTCAGTAGTCTCTTCCTTACAGCTATTTGTACAAAGATAAGAAAGAAATATTTATGAGACAAAAAGGTTTTGTGATTTGTTTTTAAGACTCATAATGTAGGTAAATTAATTAATTAATATGTAAGATTATACACAGACTTTTCTCTACGTAAAGAAAGGTATTTTAACACAGAGAAAAGTCAGTGTATAATTTTACATACAGAAGTTATTATTTTGCTACACTGAAAATATTTCCGATATTTGCTGTCCTCTATATGCAGAAAATTTTTTTTTTCATGACAATCCTTGAACTCCCATTTACATTATGATTAGTGTGCTTCACAGCATCCTTGCATATAAATCATTATGCAACAACCCTCCACCAATAGGAGGTCAACACACCCTCCTAACACGTGACTCCCTCTATTCAATTTTACTGAACTATTACTTCAAGATTAGGCATAAACTAAGCCGCAGTTTTAAGAGGGGAGGAGGAATGGGAAATGTGAGAAGAGGTTAGTACCTGTTGGAAATATATGTTCAGTGTACGAAAATAATAACTTCTGATATGTATAGCTAGAATCCCACATTGAACAGGTGGAGGGACTGGTGCGAGGGATATAGAAAAGTATCCACCAAAAGCATTTGAAAAACACCTTTGAAGTATGACCCCTGTTGGGAGAGAACACACGTGGGAGACTGCACCACTTCTTTACCAGGTATACTCTTCACCCAGTATGGAAATAAGTGTCTCATACACAGCCAGAAAGTAGGAGAAGCACATAAAAAAAATTGTATGGGTTCAAACCCACAAAGTACCAGAAGCACAGTTCCATATAAGAGTAGATAAAGGATCCCCACCCGCTGATGAGAATGCAGGTAAAGCTAAGAAGGATGTGTCCCATGGTGCAGAATTGTTAGGGTACATCAGACCACATGAGGCCAGTCAACTCCAGTCCCAAAACCAAGCAGTATCAAGCATGCATCTTCCAACCAGTAGGTAGGAGGAGGGTCCACACAGTCTTCACCTCAAGTTGAGCAGAACAGAAAGATATACTTACCAAATTTATCTACAAAACATGGCACATGTGCGCAAATCCACAACCATGAACAGTCATCCGGGAACTTGACCTCTGAATGACAGTAGGAAGGGATGTGCCAATGTGGTGGTTCACATCAAATCCAAACCCCATTGGACTGGTTCTACACTGTGTAACATCAGCCTCAGGTAATAAAACTCCTGGAGGCAGAGTACCAGAGGGATAACCATTGTAATGAGCAACATCATCCTCTAGATAGGACCACATAAAAGCTGGAGTGCATGTGCATGCAAATTCAATCTTTGGGACCCATCACACAGAGGTGGAGATCATGAGGCAAATCTACTAGAACAATGTAGGATAAGGAAGTACGAAAAACACGTGTGAAGACTTATGTTGATTGGTCCAGCTCAATTCCAAACCAGCCACTGGGAATCGACATCCAGGTGATGGTAGGACAAGGGATCCCAATCAGAGGGGTGAACTGCAATGTGATAGATCTACTAAAAAGCAACATCATCCTTTGGATAGGACAACACAGAAGCTGGAGCATAATGTCAACCTCTGGGTCCCACTACATGGAAGTGGATTGCCTCTGTAAAAGATACACAACCTCACCCTCTGGAAAGAACCGCACAAAAGCTGGATGCATCATCAATCTCTCGGACACACCACACGAATGCAGAGCACACTTATGAAATATGCACAACATTATCCCCTGGATAGTACCGCACAGAAGCTGAAGCACAATGTCAACCACAGAGTGGAAGTGGATCTCCTCCATTAAATATGTACAACCTCAATCTCCAGGACCCATCGCAATAAGGTGGAGCACATGATATGGGGATCAAATCACTACCACCCTACATCTACTGAAGTGAAAAGATCACATTCAGGAGGACTCCTCCATGGTCCGTCACGCATGGAAAGTGGCAAGGACTCTCATACTCCACTAGAACAACAATTGGAGACAAAAGGTGGTACTAGAGACAGTACAATGGGTGACCATAAAATCCCTATTTTGAAAAGCACACCAATCCTGATTTATTCAATCAAAGGGATGGGCAGCTATCATATCCCCTGCTGCTTTACCCACGTAAGTCCATGGGTTAGTATAGTCTGGAATTGGCATATTAATGAAGCAAATATATCATGAGGAAACCTAATATCTTGTGGAACACCCCATTTTAACAGTTTGCTTTATTGGCCATGGGTATACATCAATATTGTTGGGATCAGCCACCACCCAAAGACAACTTTGTTGGGACGTCCAATACAACCCTTGCCAAGCTACCCCATGCAACATCATTCTACACTAGGGCCCAAACCTATAGAGGTGGAGTGACAGGAATAGCTGGGAGTAATTTGTGCAATATCAACCCTGGATAGAACTCCACAGAGGTAGGAGTGCAGATATCACCAGCAGATTGACCAATATAACCACAGTTCGCAGAATAATCAGATTCAGAACCTTGCAAAATCAATCTCCAGGACCCACCACATGGATGTGGATAAACAGTCACTAGGTGGAGATAATATACCCCAGTATGACTTACTGGTGGCTGTAAATGCAGAATTTGAGAGATAGGAAGTATACCTGGACAGGCAACACTCACCACTGAGCAGGATCCTAAACCAAAAAGGGATATGTCACTGGAAGGAAAAATAAGATATAGAAAAGTTAAATTATCAAGTCACAGCTGCACCAATGTTTGGAGAATGGCAACAGGCAGAAGGCAATACCCAGAGGAGGAAGAAACAGCCACCCAATGCAAGAAGAGGAAGATGAACATATGAGGTGTAGTTCACATGCCTGACTGAAGAATTTCTTCCAATGAATGAGGAAGGTGAGATGTCAGGGGAAATGTGAGGTGCCTGATCTGATGCAACAACACCTGGAACAGATTGTGGGATGATGGAGACAAAGAGAAATATGCCAGTCTAATAAGTTGACAAACCCAACCTGTAAGTGAAGAAGAAAAAACGTCATGTACAGAGGAAAGTTGTCAGGGGATGATAAGGCAGGAACAGGAACCACAGAAGGAGGCCATGTAAGTAATGTAACAATGAAGAGCACAAATGGGACATAGCCTATCCAGATCAGACTGGGAATAAAGGTGGGAAATGGAGGGAAGAGAAATCAGCAAGAAGGTAGAATGTCCCCCACAACTGTAGGAAACTTGAGGGTCGATGGACCACTCCATTGGATAAACTTTAGTGGGTCAGGAAAAGGGATTGGCCAGGTTGAAAGCACCTGGAACATGACATGCAATTAAATGTATCCTTAGCATTTGGGCCCACTAAAGTAGGTCTAATGTTTAAACACAAAGGAAATAGGAATGGGTGCCACCTTGGTAATTGATATAAGTGACAACCGTGAAATTGTCTGAGTGGATCATGATAAGTTGGTTCTATATTGCCAGGATCTCCATTATGTTGATATGGTAATGACATTTCACTCTGAGACCATTGACCAGAAACCACCCGCTGGCTGACACACACACACCCAATCGTGGAGAGAAGGATCAGTGAACAGATACAAATCCGAATTAGGCAGTGGAAGTGGTACCCCCATCATTATGTTGTCCTTATTCAACCATCAAGGAAGATCATCTGTTAGAAATGGAGGAAGGGTTATTGGGGAATCAAAGGGATCCCAAGCAAGATTTCATTGGTCATGCAATGTCTACTGAAGAGAACACGTATGTGCTCAACCCAAGGGGATAAGGGATTCCATAGAAGCCCAATTCTTCAAAAGCGATAGAACCTCGCAAGCAGAAATGGTGTGGAAAACTGAAAGCTCCATCAAATGGAGATGATGTAGAAAAGGTTGGGCCCGACTGAGGTAAGTGTAGAAAAACACACCTAAGTGGACAAGATATTGGGTAGGCATCAGGAAAGACTTCTCCAAATTGAAAATCCAACTAATTTGAGCTACTTCTGTTAATAGCAAACAAGTGTGTTTAGAAGACTCCAGTTCATAAATGAGCTAACAAGATCCAGTCATCCATGTAGTAGTGGAAGCACAACCCTTGAATATGCATAATTTAGGCAAAGGCTTTGACCACCTGATGAAAGATATACAGAGATAAAGCAGGCCTGAAAGGCAAGGTGTAAAATTGATATACAACCTTGTAGTGGACGAACCAAACGTAACACCAGGACCGAAGAGAAATAAGAATATGGAGATAAACGTTCGAGACATATACCATGGTCATCCACGGACCTAGAAAAAAAGCCCACTGAAGTGTGAAAAAGATTTCCATGGTAAAGTGGTGAAGATCCAGAAACGGGTTGAGAGGGGACAAATCGATCACAGGATGCCAGTCTCCAGTTTTCTAGGGGGATGACAAAAAGCCTGAAGAAGGCTGACTGACAGGCTCGATAGCTTGCTATGATAGAAAAGGCTGCACAGTCTCTGACAAATGCTGACTGTAGCAGAATCCCAAGGTAACAAGAAGAATGTAGGTACATAAGACAATGGAAGAGGGGAGAGGAAATGGATGAAAAATCCATCTGATAAAAACTGGATTGCCCACAGATCAGGAGTGAATTCTCACCACAGCTCAACAAAATTATACAAAAGTGCTCCCACTGGACTGGAAACCATCTGATAATCACCAGAACTGCTGGGAACAATGAACCCGATGTTGAGACACACTATGAAATGTTTAACTCCTGGTGGTATGTACTGGCAAAGAATGGGAAATGGGTATGGGACAGGGCAAAGTAGTGGGGTAGGACAAACAAGCAACCAAAGAAAGGGTTGAGTGTTGTCTCACAGATTGCACACATAACTCCAAAAACTCAGAAATATCTCCAAAGACAGACCGGTGAAGCTATCTGCAGGTCCTGAAGATACGAGGGAGATGACTTGTGACAAGACAGCGTCCCTACCAAAGAGATCCCAATAACAAATAAACCATGTGTGTAAAGAGCATCTGAAAACGTCTACACTAAACAACTGCTTAATGAGAAGTGATAGTTCAGTAGAATTGAATAGGAGTCATATGCATCAGAAGGATGTGTCACACTCCTATTGGTGGAGCATTGTTGCTTGATGATTTACATGCAAAGATGCTGTTAATTACATTAATAGTGGGGTAAGTGGGAGTTCAAGGCTTGTGGCATGCAAAAAACGTTTTGCATATAGAGGGCAGCACTGAACAAGAATAGCTATATGTGTGTGTGTGTGGAAGGATGTAAGATACCGTATCGGAATTGTGATTTATATGACCTTAAGAATTGGGTCAGTTTTTTCTTGTTATTTAGATATCATCTAAACTTAACTCCTTTACGATATTTTATCAAGCATCATATGGCTTTTTAAATAGAGCTCATCAAAGTGGATAGTTATATATAAGGGCAAATCATATAATTTCACATTTCTGCTGAACAAATACTGATTAAGCAAAATAGAAATCTACGGATAAAAGTTGATAAACTTGCTGTAGGGTACCTATCGTTAAACCTCACATATCAAGGATACAACCTGCTTTTGGTCAATGGTAAACACTGACATCAGAGAATTGAAAAAATTCCTTACTATTTGCCAATTCCCCAAAAGTTAATTGAGATCCCCATTTTTATTAATTTTCAATAACTTGATTTAGAACATAAAGTGTAAAAATTGTATACTACAGTTTTTAAGAAGCTCATGTTAGCTGGATGTGTGAAACAAAATTGTAAATAATTTAAAAATTTTACCTCTACATGTTCTTTCTAATGAGAAAGTGGAACAATTAACATATGCTATGCGTATAAAATAATAGTACATCTTGAACTGTATAAAATAAGTTTAAACATCTTCAGTATTTGAGGGTTAGTTTATTAATGACTATAAATGTTTGATTAATTTGGAACACAATACTTAATTCAAATTGCCATGCAATATTTTAAATATACTAAACAGAGTAGACATTAACGTAGAGTGACCACACATCCTGGTTTTGTCGGGGCAGTCCTGTTTTTTGGTAGTTTGTCCCAGCATCCAGAGAAAAGTTCTCAGGATGCCAAAAACATTCAAGTTTTATGATGAAAGACATCAAACTGTTAGTCACATTGAATCATGAATGTAATAGGCCTATTCAAATTAATGCTAAAACCTAAAAGTAGTATGTTTGAAAATGTTATAGATTCTTAAATAAATCCATGTATGAAGTAGTCTGTTCTAAGATGAGTTGGATAGAGTGAATAATTAAAGATTTCTGGGATGTATAATTTGACTATTTCTGCTCATCTGTTTTGTGCCTATAACCAAAAAAAGTAATTGAAATTATTTCAAAAACAATGCCAATGTTAATATATTTAGAAATATTATGGAACAGTTCAATAAATTCAAAGTAAATGAAATAAAAGTTAAATTATTTCAAATTTGTAATAACCATTTTGAAATTGGGCAAGGGCTGGGCTGTCCCAGTTTTTTTGGCTTAGAAATCTAGTCACCCTATATTAACACTATAACTTTGTGTTATATAAATTGAACTATTGAAAATAAACTAATGACTGAAGTTTGATTACTTTGAAATAATAAGATAAAATTTTTTATATTGTTCTAGTTCATTGCTCAGATCAGTATACAGATGATAACAGAACTTTAATTATGTTTTGGCCCAACTTATATTATGTTGATCTTACCCAGTAATTCTGTGTAATAGAAAGATTATCCTCTTGCTCTCAATGGTTAAATCCCTACTAGACTTCACCAAATTTTCATATTTGTCATGCTTGGCATCTAGCTCCTCCTGAAACTTTCGAAAAACCTTAACACAAGGTAATGATTCATCCACTTGGTGTTGTAGTTTGGAGAGATCATCTCCATCTTCCTGGATTTTATGCTTCCAGCCTCTTCCTCCCTTCTTCCAAGGTGGACCTTAAAAATATATTTAGTAATAACTCTGAGGATACTACATGAAATTTTACATCTATACATTTTCAAAATAATGCTGACATATATATTATGCCAGACATGCCAATTTCAATTAAAGTATATGGTAATAAGTAGTACTAAAATCATATATATATAGAAAATCATTACTTCTTGGTAAAATATTGTAGAAATATTATTGAACATATATAAGAATGTGCATATATGACAATGATCAAGGTTCAAAAGGACATTGTCCAATACCCTAATCAAGTACTTAGTTCATTGCCACAATCTTTTCAATGTGATGCTATCTTTCAAAAGTACTAAAGAGGTCTCATAACTCTCGTATGAAATTAGTCTTACTTAACCAGAACTCCAACAATATATATATATATATATATAAAACACACACACCAAGATGTACATATATATACCACAGAATGTAGCTTATTTTCACCATAGCTACTTCTAAATGCTCACCATTTTTCAATAAATGTTTCTCCTATGTAAGATTCAAACCTTTTATGCTTCTATACTTCTTGCACATCACTTAACATCTCTCAATACCAAAACTCATATTCAACTTTCTTTTCCAGTGATCATATCTGTCAACATCATTTTGAATGACAGAATAACATTCAAAGCATTATCAGCCACATCAAATATAGTGCAGTACAAACATCCATCAAATCACTAACGTAAATAATGAAAAACAAAGGTCCCAAAACTGCACCCTCAGAGGCTCTTTACAGATTAAAGCAATTATAGAACACATTCATTGACATATTGGTAATGTTTACAAATGAAAATTATACGTATATATCTAAATAACATCAAAGCATTCTTACCACAAATTTACCCCATACTAGACAATTTTACTTTAACTTTTTAAATTTAACATACTTGCAACAAATTTTATTTAAAATGTTTTCTTTACAGGAAATGTTGTTTCCCATAATATTATTACCTTGACACTTAAGAATCATCAACACAACATTAACATTTAGGTTCTAGCACAACAGATGTTCTACACAGTAAACTTAACAATGTTCACAGGAATAGTTAATAAGAGATTTGAAAATTCTGGATGAATGAAGTGTAGTGCAGGATCAATGAAAAAGATGTAAAGAAACTGATCCTCTTACCCCCAGCAAAACATATTTTGGTGACAGCTACTTTGTATAAAGCCCCCAGTCTAATAGTGATTGATGAGGGGAATGATTTAGAAATGTCACTGCAAAAAATAAAACAAAAAAATCTTGCTGTGCACATATGTAATTTAAAACATCTTTAAGCATAATCATATCTCCCCTCTATGATATTAACAGGGGAGGAGACATTTTCCTGAGGTTAAGAGAGCTGATTTATTTACACCTTTTTAACTGATCCTGCACTAAATTTCATTTGTCCAGAACATTTATATCTCTTAATTATTTCTATGATTTGACGCTGAGATTTTTAATTTTTAAATATTTTGAATTTTGATTTTCAAATAAATGGAGTAAAAAAGTGTTATTATCCAGAGATGGTTTTAGAATAACTAAATATGCAAATCATATGACAAAAAGTGGCCACATTGTAAGTAAATGTACAAAACAGGGCATTAACTGTTCTCTTTGAAGTTCATTAACTGGATCATAATATATACATACAATTAAATATTAGTCACAAAGAGTTAAAAATCCAGTCAATACCAATAATATTATCAACTGACCCCTTACAATCAGTCCATTGTAAAATTCTGTCATATATTTCTTTGAATTCTTTTGACAAACACTGTATTGAATATATAAGCAATTGAAGGAAATTGTCAGATGCAATCTCATTAAATGGTTATTTATTCAACAGGCAATAGTCTATTGAAAACTTTTATACCACAGTCTAGCCATAGCAAGCAAATACATGTAGATAGCTGGATATGATAGCTGCACACTGCATATGCTTTAGTATTTTTATAATGTGCAAATACGTGACTTAAATTAGTCTCAGAAAAACAATTATATTAAAAATTAACACATATACTTAATATTTTGTTTTCTACTTTCAATTTTTCAACATTTATATGTAAAATTCACTGAAGATTCCCAGATACCATCTTGCTTTCTTTGAGAGGAGAGAGAGATACACATGGCTTGCAAAATCCCAGACACTTACAGAAATTGAGATGGTGTCTGGAAATCTTGAGTGAATTTTACATTAAATAAAATTGTGTTTTTCTACACACACAGTAATATTTGTGATATAATTAAACATCACAGAAAAGATTGGTACAGTAATTAAATACATATCAAAATAGCTTAAAGGAACTCTAAGTTGATGTAATTCCACAAAAACCTTTAGACTTTCAATGTCAGATTTCCAGATGATAGATGTATGAAGTCAAATGCTAATAAGCAGATGAGAAGTTGGCATTGAAAGTTCTGTGAGATTTAAGTAATAAAGAACATGTGACTGGTTCACCTTCAAAGCATTGTAAACATTAAATCATAGTAAAAAGCAGTTTGTGTATTTTGTCTAAAGTTATAATTTTCCTACACTGAAAACGTATTTCCAATAGGTACTTACCTCCACTAACATAAGTAGCTATTCTTGTTCAGTGCTGCTCTCTATATGCAAAATTTTTGTATGCATGCCACAAGCCTTAAACCTCCAACTCATCTGGAATTGAATGATTCAAAAGTATCTCACATGCAAATAATCATATGACAACCCTCCAACAATAAGAGCGTGGCATACTCTACTGACACATGTGACTCCCTCTATTCAATTCTAACAAACTATCACTTTGAGCTTTGGCAGAAAGTGGGAGCACCGGTTTTCAGTGGGGAGGAAGGGTGGGAAGTGTGAGAAGAGGCAAATAACTATCAGAAATACATTTTTAGTATAGGAAAATTGTAACTTCCGATATGGTACATTACCTCTTCTCATATAAATAGCTAGAATCCCACATTGAACAGGTGGAAGGACAGGAATTTGAAGAACACTCCCAAAGAGAAGATCTTTGGTGTAGAAGATCATACGTGGGGGACCGCATCACTTCAGTACCAGGTAAACTCTTTGCCCAGTGTGAAAAAAGGTGTTGCAAATATGGGCAGAAACCAGGAACCGCCCAGGGTTTGGAAAGAGGATCATATCTGCAAATATGGGCAGAAATAGAAAGTAGCACATCCAACAGGGAGAGATTTATGGTTGGATAGGGATCCAAACCACACGATATACGAATCTCAATCTCATAATACACAAATGGACAGACTGTACACAGCAAGTCAACTACATCCGAAACCCAGGCCGCCGAGGAACCGACATCCGTGTAGGGTTTGGAAAGAGGATCATACCGCCGGCAATTCGACTACAATCCAAAACCCAGGCCACCAGGAACTGACATCCATGTGAGGGTAGGAAAGAGGATCATACTGGCAGCAAGTCATCTACAATTCAAAACCTAGCCATCAGGTGGGGGTAGGAAAGAAAATCACACTGTCTTCACCTGAAGTTCATGAGACTGGAGGGAATCTTGTACCCTCCAACCTATGAATGGGACACATGATAGCAATGTGAGAAATTGATCAATCAATTCAGGAACCTGACATCCATCATCAGAAAGATGTCTGTGTAATGTAAAATATCTCATTCAAAATGAAAATGACATGAGCCACCCCAAGTGCAGTAACATCCTTGGAATAATAAGAACATCAAGGGATATCAATATTAATCTGCAAATACCTCCATCATGACCAACAACATAGATGGAGTAACAAGAGTATAATTGAGTGAGGGAATAGAGACAAGTGTAATACATGTGCTGATTGAACATACAACCTCCAAAGTGGTAAGGTAGAATTCATAATGCACAATGAATACCCAAACACAACTGTGTGGGCAGAAATAAATAAAAAGTTCTTGTAATGAAGTAATAAGTTTCATAACTAGGTAGAAATATGAAATAATTCCACTTCAGAATAACTCAACAAGTAACAAATATTACTACCGTATAATAAAGAGTAAACTTATTAAGATAAGTTAATACAAAGATGTGGAAAAAAATGAAAATAAAACACTTGAAAGGAGCACAAACTGATACAACATGAGTACTGCCAAACGAGAAGTGATAGTTTGGTAGAACTGAATAGAGGGAGTCACATGCATCAAGACAGTATGTCGCATTCTTATTGGTGGAGGGTTGTCGCATGATGATTTGCACGCAAAACACACTGGAATCAATCAATTCCAAATGGGTGAGAGCTTCAAGGCTTGTGGCATGATAAAAAAAAAATTTACAAATATACAGCAGCACTAAACGAGAATAGCTATTAATGTGAGCGGAGGTAAGGTACCATATTGGAAATACACAAGTTGCACATAAACTGCCTTGCCCCTCATTGGATTAAACTATTATTCTGATTCATAGGATTTAATGCTGGTTTTTACATGATAATGCCAGAGATATATTCATTAATGCTTATATATGTATGTATGTGTACAATTTCATTGCTAAATATATCTATGTATGTGTACGTGTTTGTGTTCATTATATTTTACTTACAATGTAGGTTACCATAATAAATTGTTATTACTACCTCTAGCAGTTTTATTACTCTACATGAGCTACAAAATTTTTAGAGCTTCACTGTGTGAAAACTTCATGCTGACTGATTATGTTTTAGTGTTATTTTGATTGAATGGATCTCTCTAGTTTGGTTAGGTTGGAATTTTGTGCAAAACTACACAAGGGCTATCTGCGCTAGACGTCCCTAATTTAGCAGTGAAAGTCTAGAGGGAAGGCATCTAGTCATCACCACTCACTGCCAACTCTTGGGCTACCCCTTTACTAGCTAATAGTGGGATTGGTCATCACATTATAATGCCCCCACAACTGAAAGGGCAAGCATGGTTGGTGGGATGGGGATTCGAACCCGTGACCGTCAAATTGTGATTCAAACGCTCTAACCACCTGGTCATCCCGGGCCAGATTTCTCCAGAACAGCCTAAAATATCATGATTTT